CGCACAGAGGGAGCGAACTTTGTACAGAAAGATCATAAGACAAATCGGTTAAAATTGCAGGACATACGAGGAAGGATTTGATTGACAAATAGAAATTAAGCGGTAGAATGTACCTTGTGTGGACCGGGGCTTAAATCAGGTTGCTGCATGAATTTTATGACGAACATCCCAAGTCAAACGTGCTACAAAAATAATTTCACATTAAAGTTGTCGTCAATACTTAATAGGTTCGTTAAGTCAGTCATGCAGCATAGACATTAATGTGAGGGAGGGATTGTGGATTACTCGTCCAGTTGTTGTACTGGCCTCTCATCTAACATGCAGCGGTGGAAGCTACGCACGTCTGTAACATAATCATTTCCAAAGTGTAGTTGAAGCAAGTCGTGCATAGTTTGAACCTGTTCCACAAGGTTGAAGTTGGTTTACGTAAAGGATGTTCAAGTTTTTTGTAGTGTTCAGAAATGCACCAGAAGGACATACCAAAATTTTAGCTGCATTTAGCTTCCTTTTGTTCGGCCGGTTGGATGGGACTGAGTCGAATAGGTAGGCTACACGGTCCACCATATCAATTTTAACGCACAACCAATGCACTCCTCTGTAATTGAAAGGCATGTAAATCTACACGTAAACACAATGGCAGACCTTGTTTAGAGGCCATGCAAACATGTAATGGCTTTCATATTTTCATTTTAATATAACGGGATAAACATTGTTATTACCCTCTGGCATGCATCAATCGCACCAGTGTATTTGTCATGTCCGAAAAATGATGTGACGATATGTTCATGGTGCAGAGGTTGCATATCTTTATTTAGAATCAAAGTCTGTATGTGTAATGCATAAAGGTCATTGACGGAAACATTTGTCAAAATATGTCATACACAATACACAACGTAGCTTTAAACACTTACTTACCGACAGATATACGGGAAAGAACCAATCAGTGTGCCTCCCGTCATTGTGTAAATCCCTCTGTCGATTAGTCAATTGCACCACCACCAAGTTGATTGGCTGGAACATTGTATGCAAGACATAAGGCAAGTTGATTAGAAAGGTTTCTGAGTTAGGGGTACTGAAAAACGCAGATTCATATTTGTGTAGCCAACACTTACAGCGTCGGATAGCCACGACCCTGGTTTGAGCGTGCGCATGTCACGCCAGGTGCCAACTTCACACGCCCGTCCATGAAGATTCATGGAAACAACAATGTCCCTACAAGCAATAAATGATCCTTAGAACGATAGTTATTTCACAGTGGACTGTCATTGAAAATTTGCTAGTAGTAAATGAAACAATACATTTCATTTTTGCTATCGTCAAATACATAGTGAAGAAGTTTTTGTTCCTCCGCCGATAACAAGCCTTCGCTGTCCAACATCGTCAACGAGTCCTACAAAAATAAACAGCCAACTAACAGTACACATTTCATAAAAATATTGAAGCTTATATTACAAGGTCTGTAGTCATAAAAAAAAAACGTGAAATGACGTAAAAACTGTAAGCCTCAGAGTTTTCCCAACTTGTGATGTTTGGTGCGGAGTTTGTTAGAAATGTGTACTAACATATGGTAGCAGTCGTAACTGCAAACATGCAATTCTTTGACAACTAGTACAATACAACACAGATGATTGTAAAATTACTGATTCACATTATTGATGTGGGCATGAATTGGGTATTCACAACTTGTGGGGCATTAAAGGCAGTATTTGTACCTTGTTCACGTTGTCCACACCATCAACATCCACAGGTGAACTGCTGTCGTCAACTCCACTATTTGTTTTGCTATCGATGCACAATTGCATATCCCCGACTTCAGTGGCTTGAACTCCACTTCCGCACATTTTTCCTTTTCCTTTTCCTTTTCGTCTTCCCTTTGCACTTCCTCTAACGATTCCAGTTGCTCCCAATGGTTTGCCAAGCTTAGTAGGAGAAGTATGCACATCGCACGCCACGTTCTTCACGCCCACTGACTGAAGGTCAGGACTGTATTGATCTTCAGTTTCATATGTTTCCCCTGACTGAAGGCCTCCCTTCTTGTTGTTGTCCCCACCTTCTTCGATGTTCAGCTTGTGCCCATCATGCAAATGACTTTTGTCCCTTGCCAAGGTTCCCTTCAAAATATGTTGTTGGTGATCCACCCCTTGTACATCTGAAATATTACACTCCATTGGGTTAACTTCGTCCGATGGTTTGACCACGCCATCCTCATGCGCCTCGACTCGAACAGCAGGGTCCACACCCTGTTTGGCCACGCCTGCCGGTTGCGGTGTAGAGAATATACCTTCGATGAGGTGGTGTAGCATTTGCTTCAGTTCACGTAAATTGGTTTGTTCAGTGAACGGTTCGTTGCAGCCCAAACTGAAACATTGAAGCAGTTGCTTCAGTATTTCCTTCAGTTGAGCAACATTGGAGGAGAGGTTAATGATACACACATCATTGCCTTCCACCTAATCATACATACACATTCGTGAACTTCCACCTGTTGAGCAACATTGGAGGAGAGGTTAATGATACACACATCATTGCCTTCCACCTAATTATACATACACATTCGTGAACTTAGTCTTACAAACCATCTTCAAATGATGTGGCTCAACTGTGTGAAAATTGCGTAATGCTTGGATGGATTACCTTGTCATTGCGAACAACTTGCTTGCCTTCGAAATGTCGCAACATCTCCATTAAATCTGTTTGGTTGTGGAGAACTTGCTTCATCATTTCCTTCAGTTCACGAATGTCGGACTCCAAATTGCTCATACGGACTTCATTGTACTGTCCTGTTTGTTGGTTCTCGACATGGCATGCATCCATGTCAGCATCATCGGCGTTACTGTAATCAAACTCCACCTAATCATAGAAACGCATAAATGAAGTCTGACATTGTATGTTGAAGACAAGTGGGTCGATGGTGTGAAATGTGCACAGTGGTAGGAGTGCTTACCGCAATTGTTGGGAAATTTTGCTTCCTTCTGATACGTCGCAGCGTCTCCCGTATTTGGGTATCACCCCAATCATGAAGCCGAGGCGTGGACCGTGTCGTAGTCGAGCTCAGACAAACACAATCAAGGTACAACAGCTGTGGACATTAAGGGGCACACCATAATTAAGTTGTTCTTCCCACAAAAATGAACTATATTCAGTAACAATGACATTCATTATTCTCAATTTTGCAGTGGAACGTACATAGCATACCGATTTTGTTGAGGATGCTGTCAACTATATAGGCACATATCATGCAATGTTTGTTGGGAAAAAAATTTTACAGCACACCAAGGACTTTATTGATGAAACCAAGAAAAAAAGTTTATGTACATGTTCCCCTCTTCGCAACGTAGTTTTAATTGGTTCCTCCATTGAGGTTCGGCATACTTTTTGCCCTGTACTCTTTGTTCTTAAATTCATGACGGTAGTCACACAAAATTTATTTCTGCAAGTACCATACTTGGTCAGGAAGAGTGTTGTTTGTCGTACTCACAAAGCAGGTACCATTGTATGTCTCAATCAAGGCCAATTTGTTGAACCATGACAGAACAATGCATGAAACACATGAAGGGGGGAATGGAAAAAAAAAATCAAGTTATTGGCATACCATTAGCAGGAAAACACATCCAGTTGCACCACGATGACCTTTATACTTGCGAACACCGTTGTGAAGGAATTGCAGTGTCAACTTTCCCCAATTACAAGCTCGCATACGATTCACGTCCTTCACGGCATGAATGAACGATGGCTTCAACCCGGTCATTGTGGTAGGACACAACATGGCCCCCAACACGTACAGTGCAAATTTCTGCCGAAACTCGTCCTCCGCACCAGCAGTCTCGGTCAGATAAAGTCTCGACTTGTTCAAAGGAATGACTCCGTTAACAACTCGAACCTCATCGTAGATATTGGGATATGCTTCTAATGACCCAGCCAACTGCACGTCATCGCCTTCACACCGTATTCCCAATAAAACATTAACTGCCTTGCACGTGAGCCTGACTTGACAACCATGAACATTCAATGAACTACTGTCAGGATCGAAGTTCTGTACCAACCATGCGCACAAGTCGTGATCTATACGTGTACACTTCATCCCCAGGAGGCCAGCAAACCCAATGTCAATGACTGCCTGCTTTTGTGCTTCGTTGAACCGGTTAACTAGCTCAACAATTGACTTCAATGATATGCGGAGTTGCCTTTTACCCTGCACATTTTTTACCCTTAAATTAATAAAAAAATACAACCAACAATGTCAGCAAAGCAGGACCTAGCCAAATGCATTTACGAAAACATGAAGTACGTAATGACCTTTTCAGACTTCGGTGCACATGGTACTACTTTGGCGTGTTCCTCAGCGCTCGCCTTAGCCATTTCGACAAACCTCTTTTTCTCATCAGAGGGGAGTGCCTTCCACCTTTCCCCAATCTCCTTTCTAGTCTTTAACCAAGAAAATGACAGACGTACAAGACAAGTAACAACTATGAGTCCAAAATTACTGTAACTACAACTTTATGCCAAACGCAATCCGCGTGCATTGTTGCTAATTAAATAAGATTGCAAATACAAATAACAGTTGCAGCAAAAAGTCAGCGACAAAACGTAGCTGGACTTTTACAACGAATTGAAATTTACAAAAACAATAGGAAGGTGACATTATTACATGCTACAATCCTACAAACGCGAAACAATCACAAGCCCACTACGACCATTCAATACAACGTGTGGATAGCAACCCAGCGATGTGTTTCCATCATAGTGTATTATAGAGAATACAGATTTCAACACTCACCATTTTTCGTCGAGTGTTGTCTGGCCCTTGCATTTCCTTGAATTGTTGTTGGTTGCATGCAAGCATCGTCAAGCTTATCATCACTAAATGTGAAATATGAATACATATATATATATATATATGCAAGTTTTTATGTCAAGCTGGCCCCGAAATCGGCATAAGACAGCTTTCGTACATCCGGGACTGAATCGACACCAAGTTAAACATTTTCAGACATGCGGAACAAAACCAATTTGAAACATCACAAACTGAACTTCGACGAGGCGCGTAATTTCAGTACGAAATATGTAATTCCAGATTGTCAAAATAAACAACTAGTACCTGTAACAAATGAATGGTGCAACTGGCCGCTTTCGACAAGAGCCAGCGATAGTGTCAGACATTTGGATATGTTGTTCGGCAATTGTCTTCAATCTTTTCCTTCCCCTTATGAAAGAGCAAATCATACAAATTAGATTGAAGGGAAAATTACAGGGGTGGTGTACACATTTTCTCCGTTGTCTAATTTGGATCGATGCACTTTAAACTACCTAAATTGTGACAGTCCATTTCAGGTTTGGTGGACATTTTCGGTCAAATTACTAATGTCGTTTGTCATTTTTAAAACAAAGATTGTAATGTCAATTGATTGAGATTATGTAAGTTCAGTAAAGTTATAAGTTGACTACAACAAAAAGTACAGTTGCCACGTATATGCATATTTTCTGATACAAAACAGTGAAGACTTGTAATCAAATGGACGTAATTGAAACAAAGTTCAAAATTGATGCTGCAAAGTGAGGGCATTCAAAATTTGTGCAAAACAAAAAACACAAACACAAAGGTACAAGGGCTGCTGTAAGAATTGATCCGGAAAAAAAAATCAGCGTATTCCTTGGTGATGGATTTCGTTTGTTTACAAACATATGTACGAAACCAACTGGTAGCAAGTCTTTAAGGAGAAAACTAACATTGTTGGTGTGAGGTGACCAATATCCATCAGATGCAATGACAACAACTCCTGCAAAGTATTCCAATCAATATTTACAAGAACACAAACAAACGGCTACAACATGTGGCTGTTAACCTTAAAATTTTGCGTAAACACAGACAACAACACGCAGAATTTCCCAACACATATACAGATTTTGAAACAGCCAAAAGAAAGGGCACACATCAAGATTTTGCATTTCGTTCACACAGCTTACAATTAAAACAATTATGTGTACAAGCGATAAATGCATAATTTCCCAAATATTGAAGAGGAAGGACTACATTGTGTTTTTTATTTAGGGCTGAAGGACTACACGCACATACTTTTATGAAGGCCCGACTACAAAGGACAAAGAAGCAACTGAACTATTTCATGACGGGGTTAAACAATCAGGACACGATTCTTCTGTGAGATAAATTGGTGCTCATCCTAGGCACAAAAACCAGATGAAAAACCATCCATCAAGTTGAGGGCTTCAATTTCCTACTGAGCAACTTGGTTGTAGAGAATCGAGGTGGCTGCATCGTGGCCCATGCTCCATTACCTTCGGGTGGTCAGACAGTGGGCAGATCAGAGAAGAATACTTTTCCAGGCGTACAAGCAAGTTTCATCAATTGTATGATAGGCGAACTCTTTAGGAGGGATCTGAACTGTGCGTGCACATACAGTGTGCTCCCATCCCAGGT